CTGATAGTTCTGTGACTGAAAAGCATTTGGAGACCTGATCTGACCTTTCTTGCCCCAGTTGCATTTGACCCAGCTATTTTCCATGTTCTTCGCCTTTGCCGACTCGGTGTCCATGGTCACAAGTCGAGTCGTGCCCCATCCTTCTTTCGTCACCCGACTTACCCAAGAGGCCTCATGAGGTATAGTCCATAGTATCGCAAGTGGTTTAGGTGGCTGAGCCCCCAAAGCAGTTGTTCTAACAGGACCAGCTGAAACTGCTTGCGTTTGACCAACTGCTCGTGCCAATGCTCGTGCCCTTGGAGAATTCAGTGAGGCTACCCTGAAAGGATTGGTTGGTGTGTTTGGCCGGTCCGTTTTTTTTTCAGGGTCCACACCCTATAGCTGATACCCTTAACTGCACGGTTCGTGGGACGCAACTCTGGGAGTACACCCTGGGAGTGGGCGCATCGACTGCAGCTCTGGCTTAAGAGATGACGTGCTCCGTCGCCATTGCGGACTCTGACGTGCCACCCACCAGCTGTGCCCGTGTGGGCAGCTCTTCCATGGGGCGCAGGCGCCGGCGCTGTGGGAGCGCGCGACCGCCTGCGTGCGTGCGTGGCGGTGGGCGGCGGGTCTGGGGGGTCCACCCCAATTGTGGCCGAAACCTTCGCGTTGCGACACGGCACGGCGCACGACACGGCATTGGACACTTTGGGAGGTCGCACGACACGGCGCACGACATCCTCCGCGCGCGCTTCGTGCACGATGCGGTGTGAAGAGAGAGATCTCCCTGCGCACCACGTTAGACTGATCCGCTTCCTTCCGCCGCACCGGTCGACGGCCTCCGCGTTGTCGGGGCGACCGGTGCCGCCTGGAGATCTGAAGACTCCGCGCGGACGAGTTCGTGGCTCCGAACCCGCGGAAACGAAAAGGCCAGTTTGCAGTCGAACGGTGGTCATATAAGTAGGAGATTTTTCCAAGGGCCTGTCTGCAGATCCAAGTGAAGGGCTTCAGGTTGACGGGAATCGTTGGTGGGGCGGTTTCGATAGATTGCACCTTGAGAATGACCTGTTCAGCCAGGCGCTCCCAAGAGCACTTGATTAGTCACTTGATTCACTTGATCTCTCAAAACCAAGAGGGTCGAAGCCCCGGTCCCCCAAAGGAATTCGGATCTCTCCACAGGATTCGGGTGCAGCCCAAATGGGGATGCCAATTTGTTAGAGCGCAACAACATCGACAACATGTCGTGCTTGATACCTTAGTTACTGTATTTTTTTGCAGGGTGCCATTTGGTGACCATGTCTTTTGGGGCCGTGAACAGCTGCACATTGGCAACCCCGGATTCCATCCGGAGCACCAGAAAGGGGGCGGCCGCCGATCCTGCCACCCGAGGCCGGCCCCTGGGCGGCGTGGCTGGCCACTTCTTCTGGCGCCGTTGCTGGTGCTGCAGGGCTGCGATATGGTGGGGCAGATCGAATCCACTGTGGAGGCCGGTCGTTTGCCACATGGAGCGACCTTGGACTGCCGGGGCCTCCGTGAGAGGAGCAGTGCTCGATTTCGAGATGTCAGATGAGGGTCAACAGCCTAGTGGAGGGACCCAGGGTTTGTTGGCGGCTTCTTCTTGCGACTCAGGGTCGACCTACTTGGTGAAGGAAGATGGAAGATGCAAGAGCTGAGATAGTATCTCCATGTATCTCCCATATTTTGCAGGGTGTTCATGTTGTGGGGTTTTGTACAGTTTGTCAAATAACCCTTTTAGTACAGCTCTTGACCAGTTGGCACTTGTATGTACTTGTCAGGATGTTGGATTCATGTTGATCCCCATGTGTGTCATAACATTGGATGAAACCATGCTTTGTGGGACCGCCATCGCAAGAGTCTTCGTTGGGGCATTCGATCGAAGCAACGTCCGTCGTTTCTTTTCACTCCTGGCATGGACTTTGTCCCGACCGGGGGCCGAGTCGGCGTGACATGAAAAGGAACAACAGGATCTCGTTCAAAACCAGCCGAATGTTACTTATATTTTTAAAAACCGACTAGCGCTACAAAAGAATAGACTGCACCAGTTGCAAGACTCTTTCACTTATAAGTTGTGTCTATGTGCTTTTGGGAGCAAGAGGCTCAGGTGTTTCTGAAGACTCTGAGACCCTCGGCACAAGATGCAGATCTCTAACCCCCCTTCAGAACGAAGGAGGAGGCAAACCGGCAAACCATGAAGTGCTTTGCAGTCTTGCCAACAAGACTTCAGCGACTTGCAGGGTGCTCTTTTGCCAAGGTTTCGTGCGAAAATGCACACCCAGGGCCCTCCAGGTATCAAAACACCCAGGGCCCTCCAGGGCCCTCAGGGGGGCTGAAACAGGCATCATCTCCAGACACCTCTTGATCATCAGATACCGCTTTCCGTTTTGGCAGGCAGCTACCACGGGGGCCGGTATGCAGGCGCGCCCCAACTTGGCACTGTCCGGGCGAAATTGGTGCGGAGTCGAGGAGAGGACGGAGGAGTCGAGTGCGTCGGAGGGGGAGATGCATCGTACTCCAGGGAGTTCTCAAGACGGGGTGCCGAGCGAACGGAGGAAGTCGGGGTGTGGGTTTCTGGTGTGGGTTTATATATATGTTTGTCCACTCACTGTTAATGGGACTACACACCACTCCTTTGTAACTCCTGGAGGACATTCTTCTCACAAGTTCTCACCCAGGACATTCTTCGTCAATTAATCCCAAGCTGCAGATCTACACAAGTTGCTGAAATAACTTCTCTCTTTAGCTGAAAGACAGACAGTTCAGGTCGTCCCAATCAACGCGAACCGTGCAGGTTGTCCCAATCAACGAGAACCTTCAGCGTGCATTGTAAAATCTTCTGAAGAGCCAGTCGCCTTGAGCCAACTGAGGATTTGTTTACGCAACGGAAACTATCTATAATTATATACTGTAATTGGTTCGTGTAAACTCCTAAGATATCCAAGACTCCCTTGATTGCAGAGTGTTGCGTTTGTATCCAAACATATCCAAACTCATCCTGATTATCCCGGCAAGAGACCCCAAACAGTGTGCGTGAGGTCTGTAAGCAGAAAGTCTAGAGATCCAGACGCATTGGGGTCCAGAGAGGTGATGGTGGTGCTGAAGTGAAGGTGGGTGTGAGTGAGTGTGGATGAGAGGGAGTGTGAGTGTGCGTGAGAGTGGGAGAGTGAGTGTGAGTGCGAGTGTGAGTGAGAGTGAGTGTGGGCGAGAGTGAGAGTGAGAGTGAGTGTAAGTGAGCGTGAGTGAGAGTGAAGGTGGGGGTTAGTGAGTGTGGGTGAGAGTGAGTGAGTGTGAGTGAGAGTGAGAGTGGGAGAGTGAGTGAGAGTGAGAGTGGGAGAGTGACAGTGAGTGAGAGTGAGTGAGTGAGAGTGAGTGTGAGTGTGAGTGAGTGTGAGTGAGAGTGAAGGTGGGCGCGAGTGAGTGTGGGTGAGAGTGAGGGTGAGTGTGAGTGAGAGTGCGAGAGTGAGTGAGTGTGAGTGCGAGTGAGAGTGAGTGTGGGTGAGAGTGAGTGTGGGTGAGTGAGTGTGCGTGTGAGTGTGTGTGAGTGTGAGTGAGAGCGAGTGAGAGTCTGCGAGTGGGAGAGTGAGTGGGTGTGAGTGTGAGGAGTGTGAGTGCGAGTGTGAGTGTGAGCACTTCGAGGTTCACCAAGTGCTGTGCCTGCTACGAAATCTGCACTTCCAGGTCGACCAAGTGCTGTGCCTGCCACGAAATCTGCACTTGGCTCACCATGCGCTGTGCCTGCCACGAAATCTGCACTTCGAGGTTCACCAAGTGCTGCGCCTGCCACAAAATCTGCACTTCGAGGTTCAGCAAGTGCTGGACCTGCCACGAAATCTGCACTTCGAGGTTCACCAAGTGCTGTGCCTGCTACGAAATCTGCACTTCCAGGTCGACCAAGTGCTGCGCCTGCCACGAAATCTGCACTTCGAGGTTCACAAAGTGCTGTACCTGCTACAGCTACGAAATCTGCACTTCAAGGTTCAGCAAGTGCTGCGCCTGCCACGAAATCTGCACTTCGAGGTTCACTAAGTGCTGTACCTGTCACGAACTCTGCACTTCGAGGTTCACAAAGTGCTGCACCTGCCACGAAATCTGCGCATCGAGGGTCACAGAGTGCTGTTCCTGCCACCAAATCTGCAACAAGCCACGTGTCCAAAAGTCACAATTCACTGCACCTGTCACGAAATCTGAGCTCCTTGACGATCACCACCATGCCCAAAGTGCTGCGCCTGCCACGAAAACTGCATTTCGAAGTAAAACACCTCCGATCCCTTGCACCTGCCGGTTTCCCTTGCGCCTGGCACGAGAAGTGACCACCATGTACCAAAATGCACACGGCACCACAACGAGAGCGCAGTCGCCAGAAGCACCCGCCGCCGGCAGGCAGATTCTGCGAGCCTGCGCAGTCGAAGTGCACATGGACGATGTCAAGAACCATGAATGTACTGTAAATAGCAGCGAATTGGCCGCACACGCCCGCTTCAGC